TCGCTCTCATATACCTCAGGGGTTCCCAAATTGGCTAATCATCAGAATTGCTTGTGGGGCTTCTTACAAAATGCTCAGCCTCTCCCCAGAACCACCTTCTCAGAGTATTAGGACAAGACCAAGGGATTGCTTATTTAACAACCTGTGTGTGAGGCTGATACACAGCATGTGGGAATCCTGGTCTACATTTGTTCTTGCTACTAAAAGTGTGATCTGAAGACCAGCAGCATCAGCACCAACCTTATCACGAACAGGCTCTACTCCCGACTGTCTAGATTTAATGAGGGTCCAGGGGAGCACCAGCATCCCCACCTGGACCCCGCACTGATCCTACAGGCTCCTCTACTGCATCGCTCACCCTTCACCTCCTGATTCTGCACAGCAGTTAGACTGACGCTCCTAGCGAGCAGTCACACCAGGTCATCTTCTATTCAAACCATCTTATGAGTCCACATCTTTCACAGACATCAGACACCTTCCAGTATGCTGGAGGCACACATGATCTGGCCAGACACTGGATCTCAATTCCTCGCTCCTCCACCCACACCTGCCTCCTGGCTCTTCCTTGATCACAGACACTCTCCTGCCCTCCTGCATTTGCACTGGCGTGCACTTCCCCCAGACATCCTAGTGGACATTCTCTCACGTCCTTCACATCTTTACTCAGATATCATCTCCTCAACGAGGCCTACACTGACCACTCTAGTAAAACAGCCACATTCCCTGTACCCACACAGTTATATTCTAGGTCACCTTCATCAAAGAACTTGCCAATCCTTAGGCAGACACTTTCCTCACTTATTAGGCTCACTCTGCCCCCTCTGACCAGAACATAGGACATGAGGCCAACAGAGTCTGTCTGTTTTTAGTTTACTGAGGTTTCACAGATGCAATAATAGAGCATCATCTGGCACACAACAAATATCAGATTAAGGAAAGATCAGTGTACTAGCCGCTGTATTCTATCTTTATTAATGTGAACTCAGGCCACTTGCTCTCTTGTTGCAGCTACAGAACAACATGCATTCACTCTGACATCAATGCAGCCTGTACTTTCCCCACAAGAGCTGATCACCCCTCCCTTCCACACCAACCAGTCTGCACTCTACACATACGATATTTTCTCTTCAGAAAAGATCCGAGGCTGACAGGTCACATATTCCAACCTGCTGTGACTGTTAGGCATTGCTTTATAAATCCAGGAGTTTGCATTGGAAGATGTCGGCAGTCTACCCACCTCTTCATGTTATGCTAATAGCACAGACACATTCAGATGCAGCTTCAGAAAGAGGGGTCCGGGGATCTGATGTCACAAAGTTGGACGGAGCATCACTCAGTCCCCACAAGGCAGCTGTCTCACACTGTGAGAGAAAAGAATCAGGAACCAGTTCAGGTCGGTCATGTAAGCACTCACATTCTCCACAGCCCCCCACATGCTCACATGTCCACTCAAAGATCCCCACCACCCAGTGTGTCCCCTCTGCTCCAACTCCTCTCCCAATCTAGACTCTCCAGGATCTCACCTTTAGGAACCGTGAGAGACACCTCAGAGCTCTGGTCACTGTCACTGCCTGGAGGAGAACAAGACCAGGACGTGGTCAGAACCCACAGAGGAGAAACTAGAGAAAGCACTTTGAGGAGGGTGAGTCCCCCGTGGCCTCCTTTCTGCACCCTCACAAGGGTCTCAGGTATCATACCCCCTTTGTACTTACTTGCAGCCTGGGTGTAGGTCCGTCCTTTTTCACCTGTGAGAAGAAAATATCACATGAGAGACCAGGGAGCAGACTGAGTCATGAGACCCTAGAGGAACTCCCTAGTCCTGGATGACAAAGAACTTCTCAGAACTGTGACCAAAAACCCAGGATAGGCTCAGGAACATGAAGGAAGGAGACGTGGGGGGACTGGACCACCTGCCCTCCTGGAGGTCTGTCCTCAGGAGGGACATTACCTCCTGACCTTCAAATGCTGAGAAACAGGCCCCCAACTGGAATTATGAAGATGAAAAATTTGTCTTTCATTTTCACATGTACTTTACAAAAGGGTCAGTCTTAGCATCAGCTCAGATTCCACAAGTGTGTGGAGGGTACTTTCCAGTAACAAGGCAGACAAACTTCCATCTGGGCCAGAAACCCGCCCAGTGAGACAAAAAAACTCAGATCCGAAAATTGAGACCTTCGCCCTGCGGAGACTGCACCCGGCGGCTCGGCAGCCGTCACCATGCCACAAAATGAATATATCGAGTTACACCGTAAGCACTATGGATATCGTTTGGATTACCATGAGAAAAAGAGAAAGAAGGAAGGTCAGAGGCTCATGAACGTTCAAAGAAGGCAAAAAAGATGATTGGTCTGAAAGCTAAGCTCTACCATAAACAGCACCATGCTGAGAAAATACAAATGAAAAAGACTATTAAGATGCATGAAAAGAGAAACACCAAACAGAAGAATGATGAAAAGACTACACAAGGAGCAGTACCTGCAGATCCACTGGACCGAGAGGGACAGTCTCAAGCTAAAGTACTTTCCAATATGATTAAACAGAAACGAAAAGAGAAAGCGGGAAAATGGGAGGTCCCTCTGCCCAAAGTTCGTGCCCAGGGAGAAACAGAAGTATTAAAAGTTATTCGAACAGGAAAGAGAAAGAAGAAAGCCTGGAAGAGGATGGTTACTAAAGTCTGCTTTGTTGGAGATGGCTTTACTCGAAAACCACCTAAGTATGAAAGATTCATTAGGCCAATGGGGATTACGTTTCAAGAAGGCTCATGTAACACATCCTGAACTGAAAGCCACCTTTTGCTTGCCAATACTTGGTGTAAAGAAGAATCCCTCATCCCCACTGTATACAACTTTGGGTGTTATTACCAAAGGAACCGTCATTGAGGTGAACGTGAGCGAGTTGGGCCTTTTAACACAAGGAGGCAAAGTCATCTGGGGAAAATATGCCCAGGTTACCAATAATCCTGAAAATGATGGATGCATAAATGCAGTCTTACTGGTTTGACAGCAGTTACATACAAGTAACTCCTTATAATTACTGAAGACTACACACCAATCGGGAAACCATTACTCTGATATTTCTGAATACTTCCAATCAACCTTACATGTTGTCTTCAGTCAAAGAAAACTATTCTGTTTTAAAAAAGAAAAAAGCCAATATTAAAATGATCTCATTTTACAAAAAAAAAAAAAAGAAAACTCAGATCCCTCCCTCCTTTCCCTACCTGAGCGCTTCTTCCTCCAAATCACAGCTCCAATCACTACAGCTCCATTGACCATGAGAACCAGGCCAACAATGATGCCCATGATGAGGACAGAGGGCTGAGGAGGTTCTGTGGAAGAAAAGGAAGGGACCCAGTCTTCAGGCTTCAGTTCTGACCTTGCTGATTGTGTCTAGAAGGGTTCCTGCTTTATCTGAGAGGAATCTCCATTCTACCCCCTCCTTACCCCATCTCAGGGTGAGGGGCTCCTGAAGCCCCTCATGCTGCACATGACACGTGTATCTCTGCTCCTCTCCCAAAGGCACCACCAGGGCCGCCCACTTCTGGAAACTTCCATCCCCTGAAGGCCTGGTCTCCACAAGCTCCATGTCCTGAGTCTGGTCCTCCCCGTCACGCTGCCAGGTCAGTGAGATCTCATCGGGATAGAAGCCCAGGGCCCAGCACCTCAAGGTGACCTCACGGTCAGAGATGGGGTGATGGTTTACATGTGCCTTTGGAGGGTCTGAGGAAGAAGAATCAGAAGACTCATATTTTGTGTTACCTCCATGGGCCACTGGAAGCAGCATCAGGTGACCATCCTGAGGAGAGTAGGTTTGAAAAGAAGAAGCACAAACACCAGACATCAGCCTGGACTCCAGGGTCTGGGAACAGCTCCTAGTCCTTGGAACGTTCTGGAGTCAGGGTGACAGCTAAGGGAGGAGGCTCCGTGTAAGAGGCAGAATTCAGAGTAATGGTCCTGATGTGGGAGCAGGCTGAATGACTTAGAAAAGCTGGAGTCAGGGCTCCTAAGATGTTCTCAGGGTGAGAACAAGCCTTGAGAGACAAAGTCATGGTTCACAAGATGGTGGCCAGGGTCAAAGGGCAGCACTGACCAACTTTTTCAGGGATGGTTTACTCCTTCTTAGTCAAAGACACTGGATTCCTTAATTGTCCTTCAGAGAACTAAGATCATGACATCCAGCCCCATCACTTCATGGCAAATAGATGGGGAAACAATGTAAACAGTGACAGACTTTATTTTCTTAGATTCCAAAAATCACTGTGGACAGTGACTGCAGCCACCAAATTAAAAGACATCTGCTCCTTGGAAGAAAAGTTATGACAAATCTAGACAGCATATAAAAAAGCAGGGACATCACTTTGCCGATAAAGGTTCATATTGTCAAAGCTATGTTTTTTCTAGTAGACATGTATGGATGTGACAACTGTACCATAAAGAAGGCTGAGTGCTGAAGAACTGATGCTTTTGATCTGTGGTGTTGGAGAATACCCTTGAGAGTCCCTTGGACAGCAAGGAGTTCAAACTAGTCAATTCTAAATGAAATCAACCCTGAATATTCATTGGAAAGACTGATGCTGAAGCTGAAACTCCAATATTTTGGCCACCTGATGTGAAGAGCCGACTTATTGGAAAAGATCCTGAGGCTGGGAAAGATTGAAGGTACGAGGAAAAGGGAATGACAGAGAATGAAAATGTTGGATGGCATCACCAGACACAATGGACATGAGTTTGAGCTTAACTACCGGAGTTAGTGATGGACAGGAAAGCCTGGCGTGCTGCAGTCTATGGGGTCGCAAAGAGTCAGACAAGACTGAGGGACTAAATAACCAGTGGGGCCACTGGCGAGGCACCGTCTTGTACAGAATATGAAAACCTGGGCGGATTCCTCCCTTTCCTGACGTTGTGGCGCTGTTCCCACAGAGACTCCATTTTCTTCTCCTCGTGGGAAGCCAGGCAGCTCCAGCCCGAGGGGAGATCAGGGAGGCCCTGCGCCCCTCGTACCTGCGCGCAGCAGCGTGTCGTTTCCTGTCTCTAGGTATCTGCGGAGCCACTCCACGCACTTGCCCTCCAGATAGTTCCTCACACGCGCCGCATCACCGGCCGCCTCAGCATTGTGCTTGGAGATCTGAGCCGCCGTCTCCGCCGCGGTCCAGGAGCGCAGGTCCTCATTCAGGGAGATGTAATCTCTGCCGTCGTAGGCGAACTGGTCATACCCGCGGAGGAGACGCCCGTCCGGCCCCACGTCGCAGCCATACATCTCCTGGAGGGTGTGAGACTCTGACCCGCCCCGACCACACGCGGTCATTAAATCCAAACTGAAAATGAAACTGGGTCAAGCCCCCGTGAGCTCCTCCCGGATCGGGGGGCGGAGCGGGTCCCGCAATGTTGGGGTGACCCTAGGACCCGGAGACTCGGGGCTACTCCGGGCCGTCCCTGGGGATGGGGGTCGTGACTTGGACCCGGGCCCGCGTCGCTCACCGGCCTCGCTCTGGTTGTAGTAGCCGCGCAGGGTGTTCAGGCTCATTCGGAAAAACTGTGCGGTATCTCTGGTTCTCTGAGTCTCCTGATCCCAATACTCGGGCCCCTCCTGCTCCACCCACAGCGCCCGCGGTTCTACCCTCGGATCCGGGGCGTCGCTGTCGAACCGCACGAACTGCGTGTCGTCCACGTAGCCGACGGTGATGAAGCGGGGCTCCCCGAGGCCCGGCCGGGACACGGCGGTGTAGAAATACCTCAGGGAGTGGGAGCCTGGGGGCGGGGAGGGGTGAGATCTTGACCCTCCTCCCAGCTCAGGTCCCGGGTCCTAGGTGACCAGGCAGGGAGCAGGGGAGGGAGAGAGGAGCTCGTGAGACGGAAAAGGTCGGAGAAAGACCAGGACTTGTGGGGAGAGAAGAGGGAACGGGAAGCAAGGGAGGGACAGGACGGAACCTGGCGGAGGCCCCGGGTCTGGTCGGGGGCGGCGGGGGTCACTCCTTCCCTGTGGGTCCTGCCCCCCCGACCCTCGGGCGGTCCCCTCGCCCCTCCCCGCAGAGGCCGTTCCCTCCCGACACCGCACTCACCCGCCCAGGTCTCGGTCAGGACCAGGGCCCCCGAGAGCAGCAGTACGGCCCTCAGACCCACGACCCGCATTCCGGGGATCTGGAAGCAAGAGACTCGTTGGGTGGACAGATACTGGAACCCGGAACTGCGGAGACGAATACTGGCAGGTAGAAATCGGACACCCAATGGGAGTGAGAACTGGGGCCGCGTCATGAGTATCCAGGCAGGAGGGCCCGACACTCGTTGAGACGAGAAAATGAAACTCAAAAAAGAAGAAGAAAGAAAAGGAAATGAAACTCGAGGAGACGAGAAACCTCAAGACGGAGCGTCCCCGCCCCAGACACAGCCCTTGACCCTGAGACTCAGAGCCTCGCCCTCGGCGGGCCCCTGGGACTTTGCCCTAATGCCTCCCCTCCTACGCCGCCGAGAGCTCCTTGCCACACTGCCTGAGTCCAGTCGACATTTTCCATGGTAGAGATAATAAAGTTTGAAATCTTTAATTAACTTGTTTAGAATAATATTAATAACCCATGCATTTAACATGAAAAATAAGTTATTTCCCAAAACAAACATGGTAGTGAGAACAGTGAAGCTTTTTCAGTTCAGTCCTCAGTCGTGTCCGACTCTTTGCGACCCTGTGCACTGCAGCATGCCAGGCCTCTCTGTCCATCAACAACTCCCGGACCTTGCTCAAACTCATGTCCATCGAGTCGGTGATGCCATCCAACCATCTCATCCTCTATCATCTCCTTCTCCTCCCGCCTTCAATCTTTCCCAACATCAGGGTCTCTTCCAATGAGTCAGCTCTTCGCATCAGGTGGCCAAATTGTCGGAGTTTCCACTTCAGCATCAGTCCTTTCAATGAATATTAAGGACTGATTTCTTTTAGGATTGACTGGTTTTATCTCCTTGCTGTCCAAGGACTCTCAAGAGTCTTCTCCAACACCACAGTTAAAAAAACATCGATTCTTCCGCGTTCAGCTTTCTTTATAGTCCAACTCTCATATCCATACATAACTACTGGAAAAACCATAGCCTTGACTAGACAGACCTTTGTTGACAAAGTAATGTCTCTGCTTTTTAATACGCTACCTACATTTTTCTACATTTTTTATATTTTTGCAATTCCCTTTCTTGCCATCTCATTAGAAGACCACAGGATTTTCAGGTTTGCTTCTACATTGAATCTGTTATTTTGATTGAAATCTATGAAAATAAAAAGGCCCACATGTATGTTGGAGAAGGAAACGGCAACACACTCCAGTATTCGCCTGAAGAATCCCATGATCAGAGAAGCCTGGCAGGTTACCGTCCATGGGGTTGCAAGAGTTGGACATGACTTACCGACTACACCACCACCACATGTGTGTAGGAGTAGTATTTTTAATAACCTTTTCAGGTAATTATGTAAGTTCATCTTTGATACAAATCTAAAACTACACAACTGGTAGTTTCTTAAAGGTTATTTTCAAAGTGGGCCTGAAATTATATCACTGTCTATTTACTGTTCTGTTACATCAAAATCCCTAAGGCTTTTTTCCATATTGAATCTCTTATACTAATATAAGATTTTTTGTAAGTAATACATTTTTTCACTAAGTTACATAAATCTTCCAGTGTCATTCACTCTTATTTTTTTAAAGTCTTTATTGAATTTTTTAAAATATTACTTCTGCTTTATGTTTTGTTTTTTCAGCTGCAAGGCATGTGGGATCTTGGCTCCCTAACCAGGGATTGAACCTGCACCCCCTGCATTGGAAGGCAAAGTCTTAACCACTGGACCACCAGGGAAGTCCCCATTCACTCTTTCAAGTGAAGATTGTAGTCCATGCAAGAGAGGGTAGTTCAGCTCATACAGATTATTTTCCTTGAGTCACAGGACTTTGGAATGTAGCAGAAGCTCTTGATGTGTACTTCCCATGTCATCATAGAAGATACTTTTGGTTTTTTGAGAAAAAGAACTATTTATTAGCATTTTGAGATGTGACCATAAACTTTTGATTTTCCTTAGGGAAGCAGCTCATTTTTGCAATAAAAAATGCAACATTAACAATATTTGTGCAAGATACATGTTAAGATTAGAACACCATCTTCTGAATTTCATCTAAGCATGAGAAGTTTAACAGACCACTATTCACACTCTAGCACAAGTGAATAATAGAAGGTTTTAGAATTATCATACCATTCTATAGCACATTATAACATGACATACTTTACTTCTGTCCTCTTGCAGAGCATCAGGCCTTTTAGAGCATCATCAGAGAAAGTGCGACATTCACCAAGCTTCCTCACTTCAAAGAAAGCACATACCTGTTTTATGCCATCAGGTTACCATTCCTTGTTCAAGAAAAGCAGCTGCAATGGAGAGGAGCGGGCGGCATTGCTTAGGGTAAGGACCGGCCCGAAGGCCCTGAGAGCAATTGGAGGGAGCTCTTTTAAACTGTGGGATACATCAGCAGACGAATGGATAAGGAAGCTGTGGTACATATACACCATGGAATATTACTCAGCCATTAGAAAGAATTCATTTGAATCAGTTCTAATGAGATGGATGAAACTGGAGCCCATTATACAGAGTGAAGTAAGCCAGAAAGATAAAGACCATTACAGTATACTAACACATATATATGGAATTTAGAAAGATGGTAACGATAACCCTATATGCAAAACAGAAAAAGAGACACAGATGAATAGAACAGACTTTTGGACTCTGTGGGAGAAGGAGAGGGTGGGATGTTTCAAGAAAACAGCATTGAAACATGTATATTATCTAGGATGAAACAGATCACCAGCCCAGGTTGGATGTATGAGACAAGTGCTCCCGCCTGGTGCACTGGGAAGACCCAGAGGGATCGGGTGGAGAGGGAGATGGGAGGGGGGATTGGGATGGGGAATACATGTATATCCATGGCTGATTCATGTCAATGTATGACAAAAACCACTACAATAATGTAAAGTAATTAGCCTCCAACTAATAAAAATAAGTAAATAAATAAACTGTGGGATAGCAAGGGAGAAAATTAACCGGCCCAAACACACTGCCAGCGGTTCGCAAAACAAAGGGACTGAAGTAAGCCAGAAAGATAAAGACCATTACAGTATACTAACACATATATATGGAATTTAGAAAGATGGTAACGATAACCCTATATGCAAAACAGAAAAAGAGACTCAGATGTATAGAACAGACTTGTGGACTCTGTGGGAGAAGGCGAGGGTGGGATGTTTCAAGAGAACAGCATCGAAACATGTATATTATCTAGGGTGAAACAGATCACCAGCCCAGGTTGGATGCATGAGACAAGTGCTCCCGCCTGGTGCACTGGGAAGACCCAGAGGGATAGGGCAGAGAGGGAGGTGGGAGGGGGGACCGGGATGGGGAATACATGTAAATCCATGGCTAATTCATTTCAATGTATGACAAAAACCACTGCAATGTTGTAAAGTAATTAGCCTCCAACTAATAAAAATAAATGGGGGGGGAAAAAAAAAGGGACTGAGAAACTCCAGAGAAGAGCTGGCCCATCCCTGCTGGAGGTAGGAGGCAGGGGGAGGGGAAAGGGGCAAACTCAGCCCCAGAGAAGCCACCCCCTCCCACACTGCAAACAGGCCCCCCGATTCCCATCTAAAGAATTCCTGAGATTCTGGATGGTCCACTTCAGCCGCCAGGAGGGTCGCGGCTAGAGGCCACCTCCAGAGAAGAAACCAAGCCGCAGGCACCCAACCGGCGGCAGCGCGCTGGGGCCGCGGAGGGAAAAGGTGCGCCGCATCCGGGGAGAGTGCGCCCAAGCCTCTGGCTGCCTGAGCTGCTCGCTGCGGAGGGAAAAGGCGCGGTGCACCTGGGGAGAGTGCGCCCAAGCCCCTGGCTGCCTGAACCGCTCAGGCGGGGAAGGCACAAAACGCAGGCGCAACCGAATCCACGCTTTTGTGGAGTACCCGAAAGCTGGAACCGCACTCAACGCAGGGCCCGCTCCATATAGAGCAGCCGGGAGCCTGAGCAGTGTAGACGGGGAAAGCACTGACACCCCTGTACGAGGCAACCCAGTGTGGCCGGAACACGGTGAGTGCTATCCATACACAGCGATGTCGGTTTCTGCAGCGCCCCGCCCTCCCAGTAGCACGACTGAACTGAACTAGCTAACCTAAATAAAATATCACCTCCGCCCGCCTGTGTCAGGGCGGAAATTAGACACCGAAGAGACTGCAAACAGAAGCCAAATAAACAAAGGCAACCGCTTCAGAAAGGACCGGTGCAACAGATTAAAATCCCTGAAGGTACCACCAACTACACCGGAAGGGGCCTATAGATATCAAGAAGTGTAAGCTGGAAAGAGGAGCTATCTTAAATTGAACTGAACCTACACTGACCGCAACAGCTCCAGAGAGATTCCTAGATATATATGTATATTTTTGTTAAATTAAAAAAAACTTTTTTTTCTTTCCTTTTTTTAAATTTTTTCTCTTTTAGTTTCTTTTCAAATTCCCTATTACTCCCCCATTACTCCTCAACTTTCATTTTCATATATTTTTATGATTTTTTTAATTAGGGAAAAAAATTTTTTTCTTTTTTTTCTCTTCTTACTTTTTTTTTCTTTTTCTTGTTTTTCTCTCCTATTTCCTTTTTAAGTCCTCTAATACTCCTCTATTATTCCTTAATTTTCATTTTCATTTCACTATAACCTTGCAAAAAAAAAGAAAAAAGAAAGAGA